TAATCGTCCCAACACTAATAGATATATTCAAAAGTATATCTCTCACTCAATGGAAAATTGTATCTTAGCGAATTGATACACAGGCAAGACTGAAATTGTTGCACTTTTGGCTTCGTATTTTGCTTTGTTGTGATTAATGATGCAGTTAAAACACCATATCATCCGATAAAATGTTACAACAATGTCTCTTGTTAGTAACCAAGATTGTAGCAACTGAAACACATGAAAGCTGAAAACATTGCTATTTTTCCTACTCACAAATTTACCGTCAATTTATTAGAAAATTTCTGACGGAGGAACAAAACTGGGGGGTCATATGCCCGCCTGCAAAACCCTGTGTCTCCACCATTGTTTTCAGACTATTTTTGGCACCTTAGCCTGGTTGAAAAATTTTGTTGGTGGTGACATTGTGTCACCCCTCCTGTGCTGGCACCTGGAATGAAATACAGCTCAGATATAGTTATATGTGCTTTTGACTACTATACAACATCACGGTTATTATATAATAGATTAAGACAAGATTTTCAATTACCACCATTAGCAACCATAAGAAGGATGACATCAAAAGTTTCATAACTTGATGAAAGATCTTTTTTGCTGTCTTTATTTAATACTCTTAATGCCAATCAAAAAGGGTGCATAATTCTCTATAATGAATTATATATCAAGAAAATGTTACTATATTATAGTAAACAACTATTGGGTAAGTCAGTTGACAATCCATCTCTATTTGCTCAAGCAGTACTTGGAGGTTCAAAATTTCTTACAAGATTGATTCCAATTTCAAAATTAACATCAGCCTTTTTATTTGAACAAATTGAGTTAACAGTTCAGACCATCACCTCTGTACCAGCTATTATATGTGATGACAACCAAGTAAATCAAGTGTTTTTAAAATTATACCCCACCCTCTCTGAAAAACCTTAATTAACTGAAAATAATAAATATTTGGTTTTTAATTATGTTCATCTGTTGAAAAATATTTTTAATTTGTGGCTTACAGAAAAGACAACTAATTTTTGATGAAAATGGAGTAAAACAAGTAGCAAAATTGGCACATCTTAAACAGTTATATTGTTTTGAATCTGAAAGACTAGTTATAGTTAAACTTTCAGATTTAAATGAAATTTTCATTATTCCAAAGCCCATATAAATACAATGGGTTCTACTTGCCTATGTTTCCAGAAAAAAAAAAAAATATGCAATTCTCACTCAGTCTGAAATAGGTACTGATAAGAATGATACTGACATTTTCATAAACAAGGTTTTGACATAGTGGAAAATTTTAAATGTTAAGACTTTCAAATTGATAAACTACACAATGACCCTCTAGAAACTGAAATCAGATCTCCAAATGACAGCCAACTTGATTTTATCATTGAGTTTAGTCAAATGGCTCTTGATATGACTGGCAATCAAGGTAATTGTATAAAACAATTATCCAAACACATTGCTACCACTATACTCCATACTTGCAATAGAATTGTTAGTCTATGTCAACACTTTTTAGCTACAAGCAATGAATATGTCTTTCTTGTGCAATCTACAACTGATCCATTAGAAAAATAATTTAGGATCAGGTGGCACCTATTTCATAAGTGTATTGAAAAGCTGCATATTAAGCAGACATCTTTACTTTTAAATAAGAATTAAATTGAATGCTTGTGGTGTTATGCCAATGTACATCTTGTGATTATAAACTTTGTGAAGAGGGTTCAGAAATATTTGGCAATCTGGGAAATTTAGAACCATCTCTTTCTGATGAAATAAAAATGGCTCTTGTATATATAGCTGGATATATTACAAGAAATGATAATCAACTCAGTGAATATGAAAACCATTTTTATTATAAAAAGTATAGAAAATATACCAATTGACAGTGGCAAATTAAAGGTTCCTTCTGACCTCAATTGTCAATGGTTATTTTATTGATTCATCCTTTTCCATACATTTACCTCTTTGTTTTATTTAATACTTATCAGTGTACATAACAAAAATACATATTTTCATTTATTTAACTTTCAGTAAATCCTATTATCCTTAGGTATAGGTCAAAATGATATTCTAAGTACTTTAAAAATAATTAACTTAATTCTCTTCCAAAATTTCTGAAAATCAAACATTTTTCAATAGGCCTCCAGTTCTGGCTCTCTTTTGCATTATGAGAAGGCCTGGAGTATAGTACGCCATGGTAACATAATAATAATAATTATAAATTAGCCTTCTCAGTCTGGTGATAGTCAAATGCATTTTCATAAATCCTTTATGATTATATTCTACATTATAATTACCAGAGATAAGAAAAGTTATAGATGATAAAAAATAAAATCTCTATTGTGTAAAGTTTTAAATACGAACATCTTTTTTTTTTCTATTCTGAGAGGAGGGATCACTGCTGATGTTAAGTACAAATGACTTTACCAAGGGATTGTGGTATTTTCTCAATACATGAAGTGTGGGGGTCAAGTATATATGTATTATCATTTCTATTTCCCTCTACCTCTCCGCCCCGGTGGAAAAAGTTCAGTGATAGATGAGAAAAACTTATCCCAAATATTTAAAACTGTTCTGTGTTGAGCAAAAGAAAACTCCCTTGATAGTAACCTAAAGTTAAGGATTGCTTCTGTGTTTAATATAAATGCTTCAGATTAAGTCCTTGGAGACCTGAGATCTTTCATCAGCTTATTTTTAGTTTTCAAGTAAATCCTTTTCTCTCTTTCATCTTTTTTCTTATCTCTTCCTGCCTCTAATGCTACTGCCTTAAATTTTGACTTTCTCTATAATGTTTGTGTGTCTTTATCTCTCTTATATACAAACATATATATGTTTGGATGCATATTTGTGTGTGTACACACAATATATATATATACACACACACACTGTGCGTGTATTCATGGTCATACATTTTTTTAGGTTCATGTAAATACATTTGACTTCATGATGTACACATAAGTGTAAAGCACACCTTTGTATGTATACAGGGTGGCCCAAAAGTTACTTTACCATAATACTATTTTATAAACACAGCTATATTTCAAGTCACAATTATTTTTCTGTTTTCATATGTATTTTAGTTTTAATTTTTTTAAGCTCATATATTTTTATTAATTTAATTTCTTATTTTATCATTTTTTGTTTTTGTTTTATAATATTATGGTAGAGTAACGTTTGGGCCACCCTGTATTTTTGGAAATATGTATGTATATGAATACATACAAATACATTTTCTCATATGTATGAGTGTTTTCATGCATGAAATATTCATATATTATGGATACCTGTATTTGAGTAGCTGTTTCATTTTTTTTTTTTTTTTTTTTTTTTTAAGTGTTTATTTCATCCTGGCATGCACACTTGAGAAAATTTTGTAAAGAAGATGGCTGGATTCAAACATGTGTCCCCCTTTGTAGGAGAAATCACCATCTGATCTGCTTTGACTGCTTAGCTACAGAGAGCTTCACAGTCAAGCAAGGTTCTATTTGTCATAATGCACATTCATTCATACAGATTTTCATGAAAACCAGTAAATGAAATAAACATGGTTTAATAAAATGGAGTGTCTACTCAAATACAGGTATCCACTAAAAATAATGTTTGAAGTAATAAAGGCATGCCAGATTAAAAAATAAAATCCATTAATTTTTTTTAGAAATTGCTTTCTTTCTGTTTTGGATATGAAACTTAGAAGATATGGCTTTTGAGAAAATCTGAACAAGTGAATGTGCATTAAGGCAAATAGAACCTTGCTTGACTTTGAAGCCTTATCAAGCCAAAGAGTCGAGGCATGCTGCATCAGATGGTGGTTTCTCCTGTAAAGGGGATGCAGGTTCAAATCCTGCTGGGGTGCATATCTTCTTTATTAAGTCTTCTTGAGTGTGTCAATCAGCAGATTAAATAAACACTGTTTAAAAAAAATGGAGCATCTACTCAAATACAGGTATCCACTAAAAATAATGTTTGAAATAATAAAAATATGTCAAATTAAAAAATAAAATTTATTAATTCTTTAGAAATTGCTTTGTTTATATTTTCGATATGAAACTGAGAAGATATGGATTTTGTTAAGATTTGAATAAGTGAATGTGTATTAAGGCAAATGGAACCTTGCTTGACTGTGAAGTTCTCTGTAGCCAAGCAGTCAAAGCATGTTGGATCAGATGGTGGTTTGCCATGCAAAGGGGCATGCATGTTCAAATCCTGCCAGAGGGCATATTTTCTTTATTAAGTTTTCTCAAGTGTGTGGTTCAGTAGACAAAATATACTGTTTAAAAAAAGGTGTGTCTACTTAAATACTAGTACCCACTAAAAATAATGTTTGTAGTAAGAAAAATATGTTTGATTAAAGAATAAAATCTATTAATTCTTTATAAATTACTTAAATTTATATGTGTATCTGTATACTTATATTAGTATAAAATGATCACCTTTTGCATCATTTACATTTTGATATACAGTAAATAATTATCGTACCAGTTATAAAAGTAATCAACATCTTCTATGTGTTATGTCCTTTCAGAATGTGGTTGATTGTGGCTCTCCACAACTTCCAATCCTTTATAGCTCAAGTTTTGTCTTTTTCCTTATCCATTCCAAACCTTGTTCGGTCATTCATTTACACAAGCTCAATAAGTAGACTATGTGCTGTTTTCATCTATCCCTCCTGCTTTCAATATGTCCTGTGTGTGTCAGACTCTCCGAGTCCTCATTTATGTCTGAGAAATTTCAACTATCTCTTTCTGGTTCTAAGTATATGTCCTTTTTGTTTACATTATTATCTCAAAAAATTCTTACACCCTAAAAGAAGAAAGAGCCAAAAAATATTTTTATGGTGTAAGAATTTTTTTTGAGATAATAATGGTTTAGGAATACAAGTTTTATTGGGTGTGGAAGAGGTAGATTCATACCTTTCCCAAAGGTATCTGTGTACAATTAAATATAATGAACCCAATCGGAATTGGAACTCAGCTCTCCAATTGACAATTTTGAGCCATTATTGAGCCAGTTGGTATTCCCAAGCGGTCACCCATCTAGGTACTGACTAGACTCAATGTTTTTTAACTTCAGTGATTATACAGGAACTGGTGTTTCAATGTGATGTGGCCATCAAGTGTTTCACTTTTGGTGACATTGTTAAATCATGTTCATTATACTATAACAATTCATCAGCAGTCTTTTTTGGAAAGTATTACATATGACGAGAATGGGATTTTTGCATGCAAATGTTGTTCACATGCCTTGACACCGGTTATCATCTCTCTTTCAAGACTATTCAGTAAGATTAAAAGATTTCTTTTCAGAATTTTGAATATTTTGTAATTTTTCATCAATACTGTATCATCTGCTGCTTCCTAATTTTATGTTTTATAAAAAGTCAAGATATTTTAATCTTGGGTGCTGCAAAATTTTGTAAGTAATGGCAGATATTTTCAAAATCAAGTTAAATTTAACTGCTGATTATATTTTTAATAAATTAAAATTCTTAACTTTGTGTTTTATTATTAAGAAAAATAAGCTGAACTGGAAAAGAAAGATCATTCATAAAGATTGTCAATATGATTTTTAAAATTTTATGAATGTGAACATTTATTTCAGTACAGATAATACATAAAAATTATTTCTTTAATAAAAATGATATTAGAATTGTATGAAAAAATAAAATGTTGGAATGTGTGAATATAAAACTTGTTTTTTATAAAACATAATATTGTATGAAAAACAAATTAAGAAAATTAAAATGTTACTAACATAGTTTATTTGAAAAAGAAACTGCCAAAATGAAGCCAGATGGTTTATAAAAAAAAGAAAAACATTAATGAAAATTTTTGTAAAGATTTGGGAAAAAAAAAGAATAAAAAAGAAAAAGAGGCTCCAAATTGATGTTATAAAAACTCACCATAGTGAGGCCAGATGGTTTAAACTTTCTGAGACAGAATTTTACAGAATAACCTTTGCTTTGATATCAAAAACCAGCCAAATTTGAATTGAAAACATGTGTGGTTTGATTGGATAATGATTCTTGATGTTTAGTGTTTTTTTTTCCTTTCTTAACTAATGGGGATAAAACATATATGCCCTTTAAGAACTTAGTTTTTGATCTGGTTGGAGTCACTTGTTTGCTATATAAGAGGAGAGATTTTAACTGCTGGGTCAGAAAGGAATAAACCATACTTGGATAAGAAAGCTGTGACCTGAACCCAGAATGGATTTGACCATTCAGGAGAGAAAAGCTGTGACCTGGGATGATAAAAGAAAAACTACTACTACTGTTGTGACTGAAGAAGAACTATTAAAAAACCTACAAAAATTTTCTTTACTAAAAACATCTTTTCCAAATCTTCAAGAGTTTATATCATATTTGAGAACACCTGTTCTGAAACTCTGAATATTTTACCTAAAGGACCAAGAACCACCTTTGTCCAAGGTAGGTCAGTTTGTTTTCATCACTTTCAACATTTTGAGTGGTGAATATTTAAGTAAGTAAAGTTCTTTTGTTGCTAAGAAATTGATTTATATGAACTGTTGCCCTTAAAGAAAGTTAAATTTTCTTTGTTGTTAAGGAAAAATATTTGTTTTACATGAACTGTTGTTTTCTAAGAGAAAACAGATTTGTATTTTGAAAGAACTGTTAACCTGCCTTGTGAGAGTTTGTGATGTACAAAGGAAATTTTGTGCAAGGTTTACATTGTAATTTGTATATTGTAAAAATATTTTGTCAATTTAATAAATGTATTTTTTTTATAAATTTCACCTTGAGTAAGAGTTTTGCCTTTTTCATTAGATCCATTAAAAGTACTTGTAAAAAGGAGCATAGACGATTTGAAATCTGCCTTTGAAATATTCCCTGCTTCTCATGATTATTTTTTATTAAATTATCTTTATGTGCAAGAAGCAAGACCGGTATATACAACATTCAGTGAATTAATTCTGATCTGACACACTTCATTAAATAGAATCATGGTATTTTCAGTGATAACTCTTATACAACCACCCATCTTTCAGCCATGAATTACTATTGTTCAGTAATTGTAAATGAAATACCATTAATAAGTAATTTAGCATTGATATGTTGTATAGGGAATAGCTATATATATATATATATATATATATAAGAAATAAAATCTTTTTTTGCATGGGCCCAATTTGCTCCACTGCATTATGCAGTCATGTTTCTTTTTGTTTTGTTTTAATCATTTCACCCCAAACAAGGCAACAAAGCCACTAACATGCAGGGGGTTACTGAGTGTGAAAGAATATATGAAAAACATTAAGGAGCAAGAACAATAAAATAACAGGAATTAACAAGACAGAAGATAATGAATGACATAGCATTTAAATTTTTGAAGATCAAACTTGACTGGAAAGGAAGAAGCTGGAAGAGTTCCACAAGCAAGAAGTGTGAGAGAAGAAACTGTTAGCATAGAACTTACCATTTCAACTGTAAAATTATGGGATTTTGCTGCCAATTTAGTACTGTGCTTGAATTCAGTATAGATACCATAGAAGTGAATTCATCAGAACATTTACCATGAAATTATTTATAGAAAATTCACATTATGGTAGTGGGAAAATAACATTTTTTTTTTTTTTTTTTTTAGATTTGTATAGGTCAAAGAAAGAATGACATGAGAAAAATTGTTGCAATTTTGAGAGTTTAAAACCTTTTGGTAGTCATTTGTTTTATATGCAGCATATAATAACTTCTAATATGTGATTTTCAAAATCTACTTCCAGAAAATGCCAACATTGCTTATTTCTCTTTCCTTTCAATTTATGACCATGTTAACATCATTCAGAGCAAAAAATGATTTATTGAATAAATTAGAAATTTAATTACAAAAAAAAAAACATATAAAACAATTGCTTATTTGTAAGACTCACAAAAAATCACATTGGTAATTAATATTAAAATGCACTTATTTTTTTAAATTTGTTTTTTAAAATTGAATATATAAATTGGTTATCTCCATTAAGTATCAACCATTAAATTAGCCAAAATATAAAGCATGTGTTGATAGATATCAATAATAAGGGGAGAGTTGAAATTAATATTAGGTCAAGTACCCCCTCCAGTAGTAGTAGTAGTAAGTCTCCTTTGAGAAGGGGCTGGGGTCATTACCTAACATCCCCAAAAGGGGAAGTGTCAAGAGGACCTAAGCAATATTATCATGGTATTACTGGTAATACATCGAACATCAAACTTGTCACATTTGGTAGTGATGTGAGCACACTGAAAAATTTGACCAATAATAAAAGGAAAGTTGAAATTAATATTATCTCAGGGCTCCCCTCCTCTGACAGTACCTCTCTTTCAAGAGCGGGGCTGGTGTCATTACCCAGCATCCTCAAAAGGGGAAGTACTGAAAGGGCTTGAACAATTTTTCTATACTATTGCTAGTAGACCCACTTTAGACCTCAAACTTGTAGCAATGTGGGAACAGTGAAAAATCTCTCAATAATCAAATTGTTACAGTTTTACATATTTACATGCAAAAACACACACATACATGAACAAACAACTTTGTGCAGATTTAAATGACTTTTAGTGTTTTGAGTGGACTGCACACATACTTTGAGCTTTTTAATCAGGAAATTTAAACTATGAACAAAAAAGGGTACATTCTGCTACTCTAATTAAAGTAATTTATAGATTCCAGCAGTATTGATACATACTAGTAGTGATTTCTACTGAAAAATTGAAAAATTCTGTTTATATAGATTAAAAAGTAGAGTGTATATTAATTCCTTAATAACTGTTTTAAGAGAGTCTATTAGTTACATAAATGTGAAGATAGGTACAAGGTAAATAATATGGCTTAATAACTGCATCACTAACAGGATGTGTAGGTAGTATAATGGATACCAACTCAGAATGAGAAATTAGAGAGCTGAGCTCAAATTTCAGTTGAGTTTGTTACATTCACTTATATAACCTAAACATAAATTACTACGAAGAATCCCCCCACCAGCAAAAAAAAAAATACACCAAACCAAAATCAATATGAAAAATACAAAATCCTTAAAAAATAAAGATCACTATAAATCATAAGGACTTTTCCCTCAAAATAAATAAAAAAAAAAAATGGTACTCAGAAAGGTACTCATACCAATGTACAAATAGAAATAAGAATTACTGTATAATACTGACAGACATCAGTTAACGCAAAAGCTGTCCTATCAACAATAGAAACCTTCCTAACAATTCATTGTGCATATTTCAAGTCCTACCAATTGACGTTGCTTTCTCACCAACTAGCTATGCATCTGCTCTGCTTTCCAAGTTTGTCCTCTTTTGTGGCGAAAGTAAAAGAGACAAGTTTGTTACTTGGACATACACCCAAGTTATCTTTTCTAATATTACAGTTCCAAGGACAATGACAGAACAGAAGCCATTTTTAATAAAACAATTACTAGGAAATACCTTTTTAGTGTAGAAAACTATACAATAGATTTGATGCCCAACATAATTTCAGAGAGTAACTTACAATGTTTTATTACCATTTCCAAATAACTTTACTACATGTGGCAACTGATAGGCCTAAATGCTACAAACCACCTCAGGATACTGACAGGGCATTAGCAGAGGATCTGCTAAAAATCTGTTAGTTTCTTTTCACTGAATTTCTCTTTAGTGCCAGCATACAGGTGAACATTGAAAGAAGGATCAGTGGTATAGGATTTGAAGCATACACATGTTGATTTTAGTCTTATATTAAACAATCCCCCACTCTGATAAGATTGACTATAAATAGTAATTATGTTAAGCCCAACAACCAGACTGTTTATCTTACTCAAAATACAGGATTCATATCTCTTGTGACTGTCCAGATTTCAAAGTAAAGCCGCATCCACATTACCAGCTAGCATGGGAAGAGAAATACAGCTATACAGCCTTGGGGAACACATCTATTGTGATGTGTTGTAACAACTATAAGGTACATGATACCAAATATATTATGAAGTACCAATATAAATATTTTCATGGTAATTGTTCTGATGAGTTTTTGATACCTTGACTTTACAAATTTAAATGCAGTACTAGATTCGCAGCTAGATCTCAACATTTATAATTGAAATGATTAGATGTAAACGTAAGCGTTATGCTTA